TGACATAATATATACTCTACTGTAATATATTATATATTCAAAAATATATGTGTATACAGTAATATACATACACAGTACATATACATGTTTAACATGGTTTAAAAAAAAGGATTTTAAAAACACGTGTTAGTAGAGTTATGCTTTGACATTAAAAAAAACTGAATCCAGCAGAAAAAAGAAGCAAATTAAAAACATGTTAATCATTAAAAAAAAACATGTTAAAAATTAAAAAATAAATTTAAGTTTCATCACTCAAAAATTTTTTTAATGAATTTCAAAAAAGTAAACAAATGAGGCTTACCCAGTAAGTACAAAGACGTTCAAAAGACGTTTTAAAGATGTCTTTAAGGAGGTCTAAAAAGCGCACTTGTAGACGTCTAGATCATAAGGCTAAAAGACGTCCAAATATAGACGTCTTTATAAAAACGCGTTTTAGACGTATTTTAGACGTTTATTTTAAGATAAATTTAAGTACATGACGTAACATTTTCGCGTAGTATGTGGTATACATTCATTGTATTTATACGTCAAATATTGTTATAACAAAATATACATAGGAACCAGCAATCTAAATAATATAGCTATCACCACCAACGGTTGATGATGCAAAGATGAAAATAATAAATAACAATTACAATTATATATCAAAACAGTATTTTAAACATTTATAATTTATCTTTAGTTATTATAAAATTTAACTTATGTATTGCTAGCTAATTTTTGACAGCATACTTGACTTATTATATGGCTTGTGGGTGTATAAAAACTAAAAATACTGATATTTATTTTATATATTATTCTTGCCATTTTCACTTATTATCATGATCAGTCAACTATCTATAAAAAAAGCAAAATAATTATTAATAAAAAAAAGATATATTAATATTATAGCAATTATTTTAGTGATTCCTGTAACAACAATTTTAGCAATTGCGTAAAAAAGTAATTTAATTTAAAGTAATTTACACTTAAAACTTGAACAAATTATTGAAAATAATAAAAACTATGTTTTTACTTTGAATATACGACATCTACTTAACGCGTAATGACAAAGCCGTCAAAAAGAAGTCATAATGACATATTTATAAACATGTCTCAGAAAAGACGTCTTTTAGCCTTGATCTAGACGTCTTTCAATGCGTCTTTTAGACTATTTATTATGCGTCTTTTAAACGTCTTTTTAAACTTTAAAAAGACGTCATTTTAAAAACGCCTTTATAAAAGACGTCTAGAAGATGTCTTAAAAATTGACGTCTTCTAGACGTCTTTTTATCTTTTAAAAAGACGCCTTTTGAACGTCATTTTAAAAACGCATTCATAAAAGACGTCTAAAAGATGTCTTTAAAACGTTTACAAAAGTGCGTCTTTACCTAGACTAGTTTCAGTCGTCTATAAGTGTCTAAAATGCGTCTTGTGCTTACTGGGTTTAGACAAATACATAATGATTGCATAAAAAACATATTTTAATTTACTGAGACATTTTCCTTCTTATTATTTTCATTTTATTATCAATAAACCTTTTAATCCCAATAATAATTTTATTCAAAGAATAAGATTTAGATATTTATTAATACCTTAAATTACAAATATATGCAGGGCCGTCCCGAGGAAGGGGGCGTAAGAGGGTTTCTAGGCCCCGTACAAATGGGGCCTAGAAACCCTCTTACGCCCCCTTCCTCGGGGGGGCGTAAGAGGGTTTCTAGGCCCCAATTTTTCGGTCGGCAAATTGGATCTATACTTGGCAGTCGGTAAGTATGGGAAAATGAGGACTTTTTTTTTTTTTTAGATAAGTTAGCGATCAAAAAAAAAATTTTTGGCTTTAGTTGGCAAAAAACAGACACATCATCCCCCCTTCCCATCCCATCCCATCCTTCTCTTCGGGACGGCCCTGAATATAAATAAATATTTTTGTAACTAAAGACCAAGGCCATGATTAAAATCTAATTTTTTGAAAGTTATAATGTGCTTGCGTAAACTTTTTAAAGCTGCTTTTAAAACGACCGCACACACGCTTAAAAATAGTGTGGACAAAAACACGACCAGAGGCGGACTGGCCAGGTGGGACAGTGGGAATAGTCCTACTGGGCCGATGTTCCAAAAATCGAGTTTAAAAAATTTGAGAAACCTGGCTAACGCAAAAAACTCAAAATCAAACAAAAATTAGTTTGTTTTAGCAGCACAATGACTTCAAATGTATTTCTGTATTACTGAGCTTTCTAAAGCCGCCGGCCTGAATCATTTCATATTGATACTGTGCATTTTAATTTATAAATATGAATTCTCAAAAACAAAAAGGAGGAGCGGCCAAAGAACGCGAAAAAAAAAAAAATCAAATTACAAATTGCTGCCCAATCATGTCATAACTTATTAAATTTGTTTAAGAAACCAATAAATCAGACTGCAATAAATTCTACTGCTATAATTCAAAAGAATCATCTGTATGAAAGTGATTTAACAAGTGACGTTGATATTACTTTAAATTCATCCATTATTATAAATCAGGTAGACACAGCCACAGAGAATTTATTGGTAAGATTTTCAATATTATATTATTAAAAAAGGTGTCTATCTACAATATTATTTTGTACACCATTAATATACAATATTATAAGAATGTTATCGATTATACAAATTATGTACAAAAGTATATTTGTTCAAATTTTAGTGTGATAGTAATTCTACTGCAATACTTCATAAGAATCATCTACATGAAGGTGATTTAACAAGAGATATTGATATTGATTTAAATTCATCCATTTCTATAAATCAGATATGCCCAGCCACAGAGAATGTATTGGTAAAGTTTTTAATATTAAATAACTAGTAACTGCTAATTATATTGATCTTACAAACAAATTAAACGCATTTTATTGCTAAAAGTAGGTTTTTATTATTAATTTAGGTTTTTAGGTTTTTATTATTAATTTAATTTGAACTTATATTTTAGGAAGCTGAATCTCTAGAGTATCATTTGCCATCTAATGATGAATTATTCAAACTAAACAGAAATCCTGATATCCTCCAAAAATTAAACTTCATCAAAAAACATCCTATCCAGCCATCATTCTTCAGCAATATCCAACTAGATTTATAAAAACTCTATTTTAGAAAAACATCAGATGGCAAAAAAATTTCACGAAAGTGGTTATCAGTCCTCTGTATTGATAATGAACTCAAAGCTTTATACTGTCCGTTTTGTATTGCATTCAGTTCATCTCCTACTACATTTTCTAATGGGTGTAATAATTTTAAACATATCCATGAAGTTGTTAAAATACATGAAGAATCGTTAAAACACAGGCATTCAGTAGAAGCCTATATTCAATTGTCAAATGATAAGTCTGTTGAATTTGGTATTAATAACAATTTAATGGCATTAAAAAAAAGTCAAATACAAGATAATATCAATGTTATAAGTGAAGTTTTTGAAATAGTTAAATTTCTTGGTCGTCAAAATTTACCATTTAGAGGTCCTAGAAACTCTGAAAGTCTGTATAAGTGGAACGATGAAGACAATTTAAACAAAGGCAATTTTTTGGAGTTGGTTAAATTTACAGCCAAACGGGATGCTACATACAAACATTTGAATGCGGCTATAAAAAACAGCAAACGCAGAAAAGACAATTTGGAAAAAAAATCATTAATTTCTTGTGGCAGGGGTTCACTTGTAACTTTATTGTCTAAAACTACTGTGAATAAAGTTATTTTATCTATCGTGAAATCGATAAGAGATAAAATTAAATTAGAATTAGGTGAACAAAATTTTAGTTTACAGTACATGTAAGTACATAAAATACATTACAGTACATAAAATTTTATTTTATAGTACACAAGATGTTGGTGTTGTAGATCAGGCAGCAGTATGCATCCGGTACATTTATGAAGGAGAAGTAAAAGAAAGGTTATTTGCTTTATTAAAAGTTGTCGATGCATCAGGAAATGGCTACTATGATATGTTAAAAAAACTTTTTTCTGAACATTTCATTAATTTTAATCATACTATTGGTGAATCATTTGATGGAGCAGCTAATATGAGAGGGGAGTAAATGTTCAAAAGTATTCAGGACTACAATCTAAAATTAAAAGTCAAGAAAATCAAAAAAGTGTTTATATATGGTGCTATAATCATGTGCTTAACTTATGTGTATGTGATACTTGTAAAGGCGTAGAAGCTAAAAAACTGTTTGGATTTTTGAATCGATTATCAACATTTTTAGTGATTCTTATAAACGTATGCACATATGGTTAAGTGAAATTGATTCAAGTTTGGGGTCTAATAAATTGAAAAAACTTCAAAAAATAGGAGAAAACAATACGCGATGGTGGTCGCGAGAAAAAGCACTGTTTTGGATTTTTGATGGTGATAAATGTCTTTTTCCTACAGTTGTAAGTGCTTTGCATCATATTTCTATTTCTAGAAATTTTGAACCTAAAGTTTGTTCAAAAGCATCTTCTTTATTAGATAATTTATGTAATTTTAAAATAATTCTCACAGCTCATATATTTTTGAATATCTTTAAAAGTATTGGGCCAACGTCACGTTATCTTCAGACAAGATGTATGGATTTATTATCAGCTTGGAGTATGGTAGATTCTGTTAAACAAGAAATTGGACATTTAACCTTTGACAATATTTTAGAAAATTCTGTACATTTTTCCAACAATATGAATGACTTAATAGTATGAATCTTCCGGATGATTTATTAGTACCAAGTACTTTACCTATTACTAGGCAAAGCAGAAAAAAAAGAATGTATGATGAGCTATGTGCAGACGAAACACCAGAGTTACCATTAGACAAGTTCAGAGTTGAAACTTATCAATCAATAGTTGATCACATTAATAATAGTTTAAATGAACGCTTCACCGACAACAATCAATTGATAGCGGATGTTCAATACTTGATACCTAAAAATTTTAAACAAATTGAACAAATGCCAAACACAGCTTTAAAACACTTGGCCAATTTAGCAAATTTAGATCACATACAACTTTGCTTAGAACTAAATAATTTTTCTAAAATGTATCCCAAGTTAAAAATGTCTACAACAGAAAGAACTAAACAAATATCCCGTCAATTTGATACTGATTCAGATGAAAACACAGATAATGATGAAGAAAATATGAATTATGATGCAGCACTTTCTTGTGAGTAAAATTGTGCTTATATATTGTTCTATATATAATTTAAAATATTATTTTGACTGAACTTTATGTTGGATTTTAGGCAACAACAAAAACAGCATACATGATACTAACAATTGTTTACAATGTGTATACAAACTTGTATACAATTTAAACATGCATGTCTCGGCTTATACTCAACTATGTGCTTCATATGAGTTTTTTCTTACTTTGTCAGTCACCGAAGTCAACTGCAAAAGGACATTCAGCAAACTTAAGCTTGTTAAAACAAGACTCAGAGCCAATATAAGTCAAGATAATTTAGAAGCACTCTTAATTATGAGTGTTGAAAAACAATTACTCAATGAAATTGAAATTTCAAATGTCATTGAATATTTAAAAGCTAGTTCTACAGTAATGACTAAAATGTTTTCAATATAAAATTGTCATTTAAGTTTTGTTTTATATAATTTAAGTATTTTCTTAACTATAATAAATAATAATGCATTAATTTGTATGGATTATGATTCTTCTTCTTCATTCTCTGGCATGACTACTCTCTAAGAGATTTTGCTGACATTACTAAACTTTGCCACCTATCTCTATCTATGAATTATATTATATGAAAAAAATTGTTTTGAGTCTAATTGTTGATTATCATGTTTTTTAATGTTGAAACTAGACCCATAGTATCAGTATGTAACATAACACATACCAAAGTACGTATTTAACCTAATTAATTTAAATTGTACATGCTATTTATAGGTACCTTATAACAATTAATTATATTTATTTATGATTTTTTTTGGGTGGGGGGGTGTTTATTTTTTGGGGGGCTAATCACCCTTCAGGCCACCTCTATTTGGGCCGGTGACCGTGATTTCCTACTGGGCCGAACACCCCTCAGTACGCCTCTGAACACGACACTTAGTGTAGCGTCTTTTTGGCTACACAAATTGTGTACTTCAAGGCTACACTTGTGCGCTTTAAAGCCACACTTGTAATTATGAAATTAAACTTCATTATAGGCGTAAAAAAAGCCACACTTTGTGTTGCACTTTCTTGGATTCTCGTATCAAATTATTCGGAAAAGAGGCTAGAATCATGTTTCTGGCGACATGTTTTTTTATGAACCATTTACAGTTTTATTGAAAATTTTAGTGTAACTTTTATTGCTGCATGGTTATTTTAAACACATACATAGTTAACTTTTTCATAAACAAATATTTGGTTTGTAATGTTTTAGTAATATCGTATTAAATATGGTATGCGAGGAAAATATCGATTTTCAGTTGTTAAAAATTAGGTAAGACCTTCGGTTTGAAGTACATAACTACATGGGGAGCGCGTCAAATAACCGAAAGACCAATTCCGACGATTAGTCGATCCCAAAACCCGAAAATAGAAGAAACACTTTCCGATTCCAGTCGAAAGTCATTTTAACTGTAAAAAATAACATGTCTACTATTATTCACTGGTTGCCACTAATAATAGTAGAATTCTTCTAAATTTTGTCATAATCTGTTTAATACACGAATTTTGTACAGTCCAAAAAATAGTCGATACCCTAAATTTTGTCAATTTCTGTGTTTTAGTCGAATTCTGCCACTATCTGTTAAACAAACGAATGACAAATAACTGATTTGAGTCGAATTTTTTCTGAAGAATTGGTGGACTTGTTAAATCATCGAAATACGTATTGGCAAAGAATACAAACAGTCGAAAATGTTTTTGGCTATTATACGGGTATGCCACTATTTTTAGTAGAAAGACAAAAATACATTGTCCAAGTCCGTTAACCAGTCGAAATTAAAATTCGGCTATTCTCTGTGGCTTTTTGGCAGCGTCATCAAAAGAGTCGAATTTAATTAAACCGGTCGAAAAATTAATTAAACCATCCAAACCATCGAATTTTGACTATAACCACTAGCCTGTACGTATTTTGAGTCGAAATGTCAGGGTTTTTTTTGAAATAAAAACATTTGTTTTAACCGTCAATCACTTCTTATTTATTTACAAAGGTTTAGGATCGTGAATATTCTCACAATCCGGAGTAGTTTTACTATGAATATGAATTACCATACATAGTATTACGGTAATACAGTTTATAAAATGAATGGGCCGTCGCATCAACAGCCCTAAAAAATGGTAATGTCTGAACCTGCGCGAACGCATCAGTTCATCATTGGGTACGGACCTTTGTAAGGGCCCGGAGGCAAAGTTGTCTGAAAGTTTTATCCAGGCCATCAATAACGCATCCATCCATCGATTGGCTACATGAATTAGTTGTGTGACTTTATTTAATTAGACTAATGTTATTATTTTATATAAATTGGATTAACATAACTAGTTATGTTAATACAATTATTTTAGTTACGTTAACAACATTATTATGAAGTTATAAAAATTATGACATAATAACATTAATTATATAAAATAATAACATTAGTCTAAAAAAAATGTGTAAAATATAGGTTTAAATAAAATCACATAACATTACCAGTTAACTGGTAAACTGTTAACATAACACAATGTAATGTTAACATAACTGTAAATAATATTGTTAAATAATATTGTTAACGTTAAACGTTAATGTTGTTAAAGTTAATTTTTTTATGTTATAACAAAATGGAAAATATTTAATACATAAATATAATTAAATAAATAGGTTAATGGTGTCATTTTAGTTAAAATAGCAGCATTTTAGTTATATGAACAACAACTATTTCAGTTATCACATGTTAACAACTAGATATATATGTATACCATAAAGGTATACTTTACATTATGTACATATCTTTTTTTTTGCTAAGATAACTAGTAAAAATCATTATTGCATGATATATCATTCAATAATGATTTTTATTAGTTATGATTATGATTTTTAGTCATGTTGAATGTTGAAATAATGTATGAAATAATTTTATCATACCTATAAAAGCACTCTAATAAAATTATATTAATATATGCAATAAATGCACAATGGAAACTATGATTTATAGTGCTATAATATATATATATATATATATATATATATATATATATATATATATATATATATATATATATATATATATATATATATATATATATATATATACACACATATATATACATATATATATATATATATATATATATATATATATATATATATATATATATATATATATATATATATATATATATATATTTTTATCTGATAAAAGTTATTAAAATGTTTATTTGCTATATATGTGGTACTTTTTCGAAACTATTGATTTTTTTTCAAAATCATCTACAATGTCATAATAGTATTGGCGAAATTGTTTATCCAATTAAATGTTTACAGAATGGCTGTAAATGTACCTGCATAGCTTTCATGTCGCTAATTAGACATGTAAAATGTTACTATAATATTGATAATGATTTCATTGATAAAAATCCTGAGCCAAAATATATAGTATTCCATTAAATGATAATCGTAACGGTTTATTGCCTTATTTTTTCAGAATATTCATTGCCTAGTTTCCCAGAGAATTCTACTTATCAAGTTTACACTTGTCCTGAAAAAACAATAGAATATATTGATCATTTGTTAGTTTCTTCATTGTGAACAAGCAGCAGTGTTCCTTATTATATTACACCTGAAGTAATTGTTTCTGTTAACAATATTTCATAATCATTAGTTTCCTATATTGCATCGCTCGAAATAGTTTTTCAAAGCTTGCCAATCAAATGTAATTATTTCACAAAAATAGGTTATTTTTCCTTGAATTTTTCGAAATTTCTTCAAACATTGCTGATCATTGATCGGCTGTTATTTTGAGCGATGATATTGGTAATGCTGCTTTATCAGTTTTCAATGACATTAGAGCAGATTCCACTCTATTATTGTTTAAGAGTAAGTTTGAAAGTAGTATTATACATTTTTTTTTTTATT